AAACCGGAACGAAACCGAAACCAAAACCGAAATAAATTTTGAAGAACGAAACCAAAACCGAAACCTAAACATTTGGCAAAACCGAAACCCACACCGGAACGTTATTTTGAATCGGTTTCATTCCTTGTATAATATTATAAATCCGAAAGTAAGTTTGTTTGTTTGCTTTGCTTTCACGCTTTAACTAATCAACCGATCATCATGAAATTTTGTACACTGCTGTCATTTAGCCCAACTTAAAATATAGGATAGATTTAATCTCGATTAGACAAGGGGGCGTGTCCCTTCCCTACAAACGGAATTTTTCATACTGCATTACTCAGGAAATATTTTGGATATATTACTGGAACTTCGTATGGAGATATATAAAATCATTATTTACTCATGGATGAGGGCTGCCACTCTTTAAAAAAACAAATTTAACTTCAATCAAGGAAGTTATTTATTTCAAAATTATATTAAAAAATGGATGTCAAGAGGCTTAAAAAAGCTGTAGTTCGAATAAATTTTTAAAAGGATTGCCACCTGTTTGAAAAATCAAGTTTAAATTAATTATACGCAAGCTATCTGAAGAACTAAAATATGGCTGCGTAACAAAATATTGTTAAGAAACCGTTAGTTTGAAAGTTTTGAATAATCTTTAAGTCTTTCACAAGGGTTGCCAATTATTTTGAATTAAGATTCAATTCAGTTCAGGTAATACGTTAATTGAAATAGTATGACAAAGAAAGTTTTTGTTTGAAAATATTTTGAAGATGGTTAAACNGCATTACAATTATTTTGAATTAATATTCAATTCAGTTCAGGTAATACGTTAATTGAAATAGTATGACAAAGAAAGTTTTTGTTTGAAAATATTTTGAAGATGGTTAAACAAATTTTAAACTTCCGGTTTTTTAATTGAGTTTTCTTGAAATAAATTTTACTCCATAAAGCACGTAGAAATTTCATACACTCTGCGAAGCGGGCAAGGGCAATCTAGTAAAAATATAAACACATAAAGAAAAACTTTATTAAAAAAAGTAGATAAAGCAATGTTATATCATTTTTACAATAAGTCAATTATTTAAAAAGTCATTGATTATTATTTATACGTATGGCCGATTATTTGACTGGCTACGTTACATTTGTACACAATTGTCAATTGTCCACTAAATATNCATAAAGCACGTAGAAATTTCATACACTCTGCGAAGCGGGCAAGGGCAATCTAGTAAAAATATAAACACATAAAGAAAAACTTGATTAAAAAAAGTAGATAAAGCAATGTTATATCATTTTTACAATAAGTCAATTATTTAAAAAATCATTGATTATTATTTATACGTATGGCCGATTATTTGACTGGCTACGTTACATTTGTACACAATTGTCAATTGTCCACTAAATATCACAAAACCAACTGGGCTTTTTTAGGTGATATGATCACGCACGGTCCAATCTGTGTATCTGTAAAAGAAAGGTTTTAATAATTCTCCGTCATCCCTTGTCAAATTTGGTTTGGAGATAAACCGGTTTCGGCGTTGTGCCATCTTCAGTGTCATTTTTCGAACGAACGAAAATGAGAATTGCAATAATTAATTGGGTTTCAAAGTTATAGGCATTCGAATGTGCATTGGCTATGTTCCCTGCAAAGAAAACGCGGACTAGTGAATCAAATTTCTAGTTCCGTACTAGGTCTTTATAGCCAAAAAGGAACTATTCCGATATGAACTAGATCCCCACAAGTCCAAAATCGGCGAAAAGTGGTACTTTTAAAATACTAATTTTTTCAGTTTTTTTTTCACTAGAAATCGATATCTAAAAAGACGAATTTAGAAATGGTTCGGAACTATAGAAAAAGGGATTCAGAACGAACTAGATCTTATTTGTCGAATTAAGAACAAGTTCGGAACTATCGAATACGGGATGCAGCGGGGGGCTTGTTTACTTTACATAGATATGTGCTCGGCGGCTTTTTCGTTCAAATGCGCTTCTATTCTGCGCTTCGCAGATGCAGTTTCATAGCTTGGTAATACAAAACTAAAATTTGTGTTAACATTTCAACATCTTGGGACCGTGTGGAATCTAAGAAATAACAGCGAGCACCTCTGCAAACTCAGCTACAGCTAAAGGTATGTAAACGTACATTTCTCACAATCAAACAGATTTAATTTCAAATTGAAAACACATTTCTTCCAAAATAACTTAAAATCGCACACACGGAAGAACCATAAAGATGGAAAAATCATGATACTTTTTTCTTTCGTCTGTCGATTTCAGAACTGGTTCGGAACTATAGAATTTAGGACTAGTTCGGAATTATCGAAAAAGGGATGTAGCGGGTGGCAATTGACACTTCCTAGGACATCACCATGTTAAATTCGCCAGTTGCTTGCATGCAAAAGAGATTTATCGCGAACCAGTACTGGCTCTAAATGTACTAGAAGCGCACCAGTTCAGAACACAGGGTTACACTATTTGTAAGTTTAATGATTTGTGTCAGAAAGTTTGAAATTTCTGCGAAACGGTTGAGCGAATACTGCTTGCTTTTCAGTATGTCATCTACAATGAATGCAGGTGGTCATCTGCTTACCCAATTGTTGTAAATTTNAAGACGAATTTAGAAATGGTTCGGAACTATAGAAAAAGGGATTCAGAACGAACTAGATCTTATTTGTCGAATTAAGAACAAGTTCGGAACTATCGAATACGGGATGCAGCGGGGGGCTTGTTTACTTTACATAGATATGTGCTCGGCGGCTTTTTCGTTCAAATGCGCTTCTATTCTGCGCTTCGCAGATGCAGTTTCATAGCTTGGTAATACAAAACTAAAATTTGTGTTAACATTTCAACATCTTGGGACCGTGTGGAATCTAAGAAATAACAGCGAGCACCTCTGCAAACTCAGCTACAGCTAAAGGTATGTAAACGTACATTTCTCACAATCAAACAGATTTAATTTCAAATTGAAAACACATTTCTTCCAAAATAACTTAAAATCGCACACACGGAAGAACCATAAAGATGGAAAAATCATGATACTTTTTTCTTTCGTCTGTCGATTTCAGAACTGGTTCGGAACTATAGAATTTAGGACTAGTTCGGAATTATCGAAAAAGGGATGTAGCGGGTGGCAATTGACACTTCCTAGGACATCACCATGTTAAATTCGCCAGTTGCTTGCATGCAAAAGAGATTTATCGCGAACCAGTACTGGCTCTAAATGTACTAGAAGCGCACCAGTTCAGAACACAGGGTTACACTATTTGTAAGTTTAATGATTTGTGTCAGAAAGTTTGAAATTTCTGCGAAACGGTTGAGCGAATACTGCTTGCTTTTCAGTATGTCATCTACAATGAATGCACGTGGTCATCTGCTTACCCAATTGTCGTAAATTTCAGGTTTTTGACAATTTTTGCTTATAAAATTAGGGCACTGACAACGTTACACAAAACACTGGCCACGTTACACGTACGGTTCACAAGGTTTAACCAAAAGGCTTTGTTCATCAATTTTTTCTTCGCAGGAATAAAAAATATAACTCGGTTATCCTTAAAAATTGTAACTAGGTCAAAAATCATCCTAAGCTTAAATTTTTGACAGGAATATCTTCGTATTATCGTCGCAAAGAATATTTATTTAACTTTACTACAAAAACTACTTCTGTTTAATAACTTAAAATATGCAAAATCTCATCTAAAGTACCATTTTGTGTGTTTTCTTATTAATCCTTTCTGAATAATAATTTTTTCCCAATGCCATCCAAGACAATTTCAAATCAGATACGGTGGTTTCCACAACTTTGTTAATCTTAGCTAAAAAAATGTTAATGCATTTACCGCTTTTATAGAAAAGTTGTAACATAAACAATTTTTATCAAAATAAATAGCATACATAAAACACAGGTTTTAGTTCTGTAATTTTTGGTATCGATATTTCGACCTCAATCTGAGGTAATCTTCAGGAACTCTTAGTTGTTCCCGGTCTACCGACATCTANACTTTTATAGAAAAGTTGTAACATAAACAATTTTTATCAAAATAAATAGCATACATAAAACACAGGCTTTAGTTCTGTAATTTTTGGTATCGATATTTCGACCTCAATCTGAGGTAATCTTCAGGAACTCTTAGTTGTTCCCGGTCTACCGACATCTAAGAGTTCCTGACGATGAACTCAGATTGAGGTCGAAATATCGATATTGAAAATCAAAGAACTAAAACCTCTGTTTTATGTATTCTCTGGGCCTCGAGCTTATAAAATAAAAATTACATCAGTTTACAATTTAAAGGCCGATAAAAAAAAAACAATCAAAATAAGTATACTTATAAACTCTTCCGGCGGCCGCTGTGGTGTAGTTATAAGTAGTGCGCGCTTACACTCCGCAGGGCCTGGCTTCAATCCCTGGTTCACGCACTATCGCAAAAATATAGAAAAAATGTTTTTTCTTAACAGCGGTCGCCCCTCGGCAGGCAATGGCAAAACTTTGGGTGTGATTCTGCCATGAAAAACAGTTTCTCATAAAAATACAATCGCAGTTCGGAGTCGGCGTAAAACTGTAGGTCCCTCCCCTTTGTGTAACAACATCAGGGCGCACACCACAATTTGGAAGAGAAGCTCGGCCAAGCACTAACATATGTGTAAGCGCCAATCCATTATTATTATTATTATTATTATTATTATTATTATTATTATTATTATTATTATTATTATTATTATTATTATTATTATTATTATTATTATTATTATTATTATTATTATTATTATTATTATTATTATAAACTCTTCATAGTCTGGTGTAGACTTGTATCAGATTCTATAAAATTGTAGTGTTATGAGCACAATCAGGTATAATGGGCAGATATCTTATCAGATTTATATGTTTCAAAAAAACCAAATGAATTATAGGAAAATATATAGTCAAAATCTTAAGAGATAAAGATATCAAAGGATATTTTACAGATGTTAGTTTCGCTTTATTTCAATAGAATAGTTATTAAAATTTAGCAGTAGAATGCTCAATACGCAATTGTTTATGAACAGACTTTCTTAGATATATGTTACTATTTATTGCTAAAGTGAAATGAGAATAGTTATCAAGTCAATAAAAAATTTTAAAATAAAAAGAAAAGCACTGGACGTGTGTGTATTATCAAAACTGCGATCTGATTTTGAAATTTCTGTACCGCGAATTTGGTCTAGGTGTTTTTTGATTATTTTGTTGTTATGTTTTAGAACGCAATACTATGAACGAGGTCCAAGTTGTTGCTTTATTGTGGCTTGAGACCACGAAGCCTTGTTTGGGTTTTTGTAGTTGCGAATTAGGACATTTTGACCGTTCGAAAATGTTGTACTGCGTTGTCCTCTGTGATTTAATATGATTCTTTTGGCTTTCACTGATTCTGCTTTGAGCTAACGGTGGCCTTAATGAGCTAAAACGTGTTTTTAATGATCGACCGAAAAATATCTTTGCAGGGATTTCACCAGTGGTACAAAGCTTCGTGTTGCGATAGTCAAGCAATTGTGGCTTTTATATAACGCATATTTTATGTCCAAGATCAGCTATTTAAATCCAATTTGGAGTCGGTGTGCAGAATATAAAATAAACGAACTTCAGCGTTTGCAAAATAAAGTAATAAAGAATATTCTCTCGCTCCCATTACGAACTTCCACTACAAGTCTGTATGAAAATAGACTTGATATTAAACAAATATGTATTCTGCAAACACTATTAGTAGTCTTCAAGATCAAAAATAATCTTATAAAGCATAACCNGAAAAATAAAATAAAAACTGGCTAATGACTGTTTCTAAATTTGGATGTTTGACCGTTTTCAAAATGGCAAATATTGCCATTTTTACAGTTTTGACAAAGTTTTCGGTCTGGCCATTTGTTGCAGGGTGGCCAGGTGCTGTTAAAATGTGTCTTACCTTGTTCAAATTTAAAAAATGTTTGAACTCGCCAGAAGTGAACTGCCGACCATTGTCACTTACAATGGTGTCTGGCAGTCCGTAACGAGAAAATAGTTCCCTTAGCCATTTGGAAAGCGAATCAATGACAATGAGTAAATAACTCCCGTGTATTGGACCTGCGAAATCGATATGAATGCGACTCCATATGGAATCACAAGATTTCCATGGGATAAGTTTACTTTTCTCCGGGCTCACTTGGAGATCTTGACAGGGAGCACAGTTGCGGATGAGTTTTTCGATGTCATCGTCGATTTTGGGCCACCATACATAGGACCTAGCTAAAGATTTGGTTTTTACAATCCCCAAGTGTCACCTATGTAATTCATCTAGAACATTTTGCCTTAATTTAGCTGGAATTACCGTCCTGTAGCCCCACAAAATACAATCGCTTTCGACTGAAAGCTCCAAGCCCTTGTCTCTAAAGGATTGGTATTCGACGCCTTTAATGTGTTTCACAATGCCTCTATGGATTGCCTCAGTCAACTTTGATAAGACTGGATCACGCTTGGTTTCCCTTGCAATGTCTTTAAAGTCTATGTGCAAGTGGTTTTCAAATTCAATCAAATTGATAAAGTTGCTTTCAACTCTGTCTTTAGTATCTGCAACGTTGGGAATTCGCGACAAACTATCAGCTTCATTAGACGTGCTTTTGACTTATTGTATGGAGTAACTAAAGCTCGATAGCAAAACTGCCCACCTTTGCAAACGTGCGGCTGCCATGACCGGCAGCCCCTTCTTTTCACCAAAAATTGTCAAAAGGGGTTTGTGATCGGTTCTTAGGGTGAAATGGTTCCCTAACAAATATTGTTTTAACCTTGTAAGACAAAATACTATTGCTAGGGCTTCCTTGTCTAAGGTACTATAACTTTTCTCTGTTTTCGATAGTGCTCTCGACACGAATGCAATTGTCCTTCTTACGCCGTTTGGGAATTCGTGAGAGAGAACTCCAGCTACGGCAGTATTACTTGCGTCCGTGGACAGTATCATTTGCAATTTGGGGTTGTAATGAACTAGGACTTGGTATGATGTAACTTCCCTTTTGATAATATCATATGCACCTTGACACTTCTCAGACCATGTGAAAATAACTTCTTTTTGTAGTAAGTTGTATAATGGGGCCATTTTGTCGGCGAAATTTGAAATGAATTTAGAATAGTGGTTTACCATACCTATGAAAGCTCTTTATTCACGAATATTAGTGGGAACTAGTGATTTTAAAACACTCGCAACACGATCATGGTTTTTGGATAACCCCATTTTGTCAATGGTGAAACCCAAGTACGATATTTTCGTTTTAAAGAACTCACATTTCTTTACACTCAAGGTAAGTCCTGACGATTTAAATTTGTTTAAAACGGACTTTACAGCAGCTAGATGTTCTTGAAAGTTTTTTCCTGCTATGGTTATGTCATCCTGATACACAACGACGTGTGGGATATTGCGAAATAAATTTTCCATAGTCTTTTGAAAAATTGGAGCAGCGGTTTTTATACCAAACGGTAAATGTTTTGCTTTCGAGGTACGTATATGCGTACTCCAACTCCAAAGAAGTTGAGATTTTTCGTACAACACTAGTTGGTTGTATGCACTTGACATGTNCTATATGCGTACTCCAACTACAAATAAGTTGAGATTTTTCGTACAACACTAGTTGGTTGTATGCACTTGACATGTCAAATTTGGTAAATATTTCGCAACCTTGTAGTGAGGCAAAAATCTCATCTATTCTTGGCAGCGGATATCTGAAATCTACTAAGTGTTTGTTAAGCGTGGCTTTGTAATCGCCACAGATTCGCAACTCGCGATTTGGCTTTAAAATAGGAACTAGAGGCGTGCCCCAATCCGAGTTGTCGATTGGTTCTAAAATATCTTCCTTAATCAACTCACGCAACTGTTTTTCGATCATGTCTTTCCAAGCCAGTGGAATCGTACGCGGTTTGAAGAACACTGGTTTTGCATTTTCGCAAATTTGTAAAGAAACTTGATCATTATTATATTTACCTAGTCGGCCATCAAATACTTCAGAATATTCTGACTTTATTTGTTCAATAATTGTGAATTAATTTTGTTCATTTGTTACTAGATTGACCTGCGTTAGCTCAAAGTTATATGCCCTCAGAAATGTTCGACCCAACAAGGCTGGATTTTCGCTATTCGCAACAACAACTGCGAGTTTTCGCTGAAGACCTCGATATGACACTATTGCGTTGTACTCACCCAACAATTTAATCTTGTCTCCGTTGTAACTTACATACGAAACCGAGCATGGCTGTAAACGCTTGTTGCCTTTGAAATTACTGTACAGACTGTACGGTATCATTATACAAGGGGCGCCGGTGTCGCAAGTCATCCTCACACTTACTCCATCGATTAGGATAGTAAGAGAATATATCCCGGTTGGACCTGAAGTAGTAACATTAAAAATGAAATTGCTAAAATTGTCGAATTCGCTTGACTCCCCTGAGTCGGATACATAGTTCACAGTTTTGTTGGTTTTGCTGCGACAAACCGAGGCCAGGTGCCCAACCTTCCCACATGAGTGACATCGAGAGTGTGCATATTTGCAAGCATTTGAAGTGTGGTTGCGCCATCCACAGTGAGAACAGGTTCGGTTTTTGCTATTATTGGGTTTTCCTTTGTAGCCGTTGTTTTCGCCTTCACTTCTTCTTTGCCTATTGTTGTTGTTGTTATGCTGCGTACGGGATTTGTTTTTGATGAAATTTACATCGAGCTCTGGTTGATTCGCTTTTGCAGACTGCTTTGTCTCTAGAATAAGCGCTCTTTTTAATGCGTTTGCTATGGTAAGCGTCTTATCTTCTTCAAATAACCGTTCAAATATTTTGTCCGGTAGGCCAATAACAAATTGATTTAAAACGAATGCATCCAAGTGCATGCCAAATTTACAATCCAAGGCTATCTGCTTTACGCGCGCATACCACTGGGAAACGGTTTCTTCGTTGTTTTTTACGGACATGTGGAACTTTTTTCTTTCGTAATATATAATCTTTGGTGGTGTGTAATGAGTCTGTAAAATTTCACAGAGCTCTTTAAACGTTTTGGACACTGGTGATGCTGGACTACATAAACTATGCAACAATTTGTATGGCTCAGAGCCAATTGATTTTAATAAAATCGCCTTTTTTAAATGTTCTTGTGTGCAATTGATTTCGCAGAGGTGAATATCTAATTTCTCTTTCCATACATGCCGTGATTCCGTTGCTGGTGTGAATTCCGGTGCGCTCGCTGATTGAATAATTATTCCATTATTGCTGCTATTACCGCTTCCACCTGCTTGATCATTCGTCATTTTCGTAACTCAGAGTATGGGTCCTTTGTTTGGTTATTTTATCCAACGATTTTTCTCTTTAATTTAATTTTTATTTTTCTTGAAAACCGAATCGTCGCCAATTGTAATGTATTATGCGGTCGCACGTCTGATTCGCACCAAGTGTAGCAACTGAATGTTTATTCTCTTCATCAAATCTTACATATACACTTAATGCTGAATAAGTCACAGAGACGCTGAATGGAATGCTTACTAAATACAGAAGTATATAACAATACCCTTTTGGAAAGGGTACTTAATTATCCAAAAAAAACTTGTTAGTTTTTCACTGGCTACGTTACACTTAACATTTGCGGTATATTTCATTACGACTTAAACGGCGTTTCCACGACAACCGAATCACGTGGTTCGCTCTCTCAATTATGAACGGCAAATCAACCGGTTTATACGACACATTGTGATTCACTTTGCATCTCTGCTTCTTGTTCTTTGCTTTTGTTTAATGTTTAATGTGCTGTTTATTGTGCATTGCAACGGTGGAGAAAAAATTTGCAGTGTTTAATTACCTAAATCAATAGTTTTAACGAATCTAGCTATTGTTTCAATTTTTGTGCTGGTGGGGTTATGTGTGGTCTGTGTGTTTTGACAGCCGTTATCGATAAAAATTAGAAAAGACAAAGATTTGTTTTTGATTCGCATGTTGATTGGATCTGAATCACCTACGAATGAAGTGATTCGCTCTCAAAATT